AAATAAATAATTATTATCTTTATAAAAAAATTATATTATTAAACCAAATATAAATTACTTCGTTATTGTACATAAATTAAATTATAAAAAATTTGAATTAAAAAATTACACAAAAAAATGAGAAATTTCAAATAGTTAATTTGATACTAATATCGATATATTTTTGTCAAATTTTTATGATAACTTCCAACATATATTTTATTCAAAAATAAAAACATAATCGCTTTCTCAAATCACATAAAACCATATTATAATATCGACTGAGATAAATAATAAAATGGAAATATTAAAATCACGATGTATCTTGCAGCATTGCGCGAGTACGCTTCTAGTATATATATATATATATATATATATATATATATATAGGGGAACGATCAAATGCAAACCACTCAATTTGTACAAACGGTGAAAACTTCATTCAACCAATTACAATTTTTCATTTTATTCATTTTTTTGTAATTATGAGAGGCTGATTAATCATTTTTATTGTGGAAGGTGAATCATAGATATTATCATCTTCATTATTTTAATTTTAGAGWAATACATGAAACAGTTTCATTAATTTTAGAGAAATACATGAAACAGTTTCATTAAGTATTATATGAAACAATTTTACAACCATATATGAAACAACTTCATCAAAAAAAATATTATATGAAACAATTTCACAAGATTAAACAATTTCATGAAAAATTTTCATAATATTAAACAATGAAATCGACGGATGATGGTGGTTTGCACGGTTTATACAAATGAGGACGGTTTTTATTTGATCACTCCTATATATATATATATATATATATATATATATATATTCTTATATTTATTTACGTATTATTTTATATATTATTATCGTATTCTTCATTTTTATCAACTACTTCTTCTTCTTCTTTTACTTTATTTCCATTTCTACCTTTAAAGATTCTTCTTTAGCTATGTAATTTCATTTTAGATCAAACATTTTCTTTATTAATTAATTTATAATTTGTAATTGCTTCTTGATTTAATTACTTTCATTTTGTTTTATAGTTTATAAATGTTGGTTGACCTCCAAACTCCAAAATTTTCATCTCTATTTCCGGTTAATAGGCGGTATTTTGGGGAATACAGAAGTATACACGGCTTTTACGTGTTAATTATACTACAAATAATGTTATTTTAGAATAACTAAAAGAGAAAATTGCACCAAAATGGAACCAACTTTCACCTGATTCCTATTTTGGGGAACCAACTTTCAAAATCGTTATTTAGGGGTTTCTATCAAACTTTTTGTTTATTTAAGGGTCTGGTTGATCTGTTGAACAGGTAACAAGTAATTTAAGAGTCTCTATCAAACTTTTGGTTTGATTTGTCAGATTTGATTTAAACTTTAATATTGATACAGATTAGTTAGATATAAAAATTTTGAATGTGATATTTAATATTTATTTTTTATTGCATTAATTATTATTTTTTTATTAAATTGATTTTTTATTGCATTAGTAAAAAACAATTTTTATTGTGGTAATTTGAATTTTTTTATGAAAAAATCCTCAATTTGAAAAAACGAGATTTGAAATGAAAAATAGATTTTATTGCATTAATTTTTGAAAAAAAAAACGAATTTTAGTTATCTTTCTAAAATTATTTTGCAAGTTGGTTTCCCAAAATGACGATTTTAAAAGTTGGTTCCCCAAAATAGGAATCAGATGAAAGTTGGTTCCATTTTGGTGCAATTTTCTCTAACTAAAAATGTAATCTAAATTATTTTATGTTTTATTTATATGTCAAATCTCGAATTTTATGTTTTATTTTTATAATTATATACTTATTAAATAGTAATGTTTATATAAATAAATATTTATTTATCTTGAAATAAAAGTTAAAAAAAAACAACTTCGTGTATATGATAGAATGTTTATTAATAATTTATACAATATAAATGATATAAAAAAAATATATATTTATTAATAATTGATATTAGTTAAAATATAATATAAATAAATAAAAGAGAAAAAAACAAAGAAAAAAAATCTTAATTAATAATTTATATTAATTAATTAAAATCAATATATATATATATATATATATATATATAAAAGGAAAAAAACAAAAGATAAAAACAACAATGTCTGAAATTGATGTCCCAATTGCTTCAAAGTATAATGTAATGTTATACGTTATAGACATTACAGGTTGTTTAACATACTTACCGCTTTAGGTCTACTCCGCCACTATGATATCAACATGTAATTTTTTGCAATTGGGTACGTTAATCGTAACCATTATGTGAAACAAGACTTGACAAAATGATACCCAATCCATACTATT